TTTTAATTTTAATTCTTTTAAATATACAATCAAATATATATAAATAATATTTTAATTCCATAAAAAGTCTTTTCTATAATACTTTATATTAAACAATAAATAAATTACAAAATTTTGTAATTAAATTATTTTATGTATTAAATTAAAAAAAAGATAAATATAAAAAATGAAAAATATTTTTAAATAGATTTATTCTTTTATATTTTAAGTTTTTTTTAAAAAAAATCATAATTAAATAAACTAAATAAAAATATAGATTATAATTTATTTAATTATTATTTGCATAATTATATTATTTTAATTATTTTCATTCAGAAAAAAATAAACTATTTTTGGGAATAATCACCAATTAATTATTTATAATATTAAAATTTTATTTATATTTCAATTGTTATATTTTTAAAATATATATAAAAAATTTATTAATAACTATATTATATTTAATTTTAATATTAGAAAAACATAATATATAATTTATAAAATATACAATTAATATATTATTAATTATATATATATATATTAAAATACTTAATATTTATAAAAAAATTATATATTTTTATATAATATATAATTTATATAAAAAATTTAATCTTAATAAAAAGCAAAAATTTGATTACTATTATATTATTTTAATTTAAATTTATTTTTTAATTAAAATTTTAATTTTTTTTTTTTATTAAATAAAAAATAATAATTCTAAATTATAATATAAAAATAGTATATGCTAAAAATACATAACAAATTTCTTAAAAAAGGATAACTATTTTAATTTGAAATATATAATTATTATATACAGGGTATAAATAAAAAAATAAGTTTTATCCCAAGTTTAATGTTTATTTTTTAATTTATTTAAAAACAAATTATATTATATTAATTAATAAATTTAATCTTAATTTCAAAGAATGAAACATTTTTTTATTATTATTTCAACAGATTTTACTTATATTAATTAAATATGAGAATGAAATTGTAAAAAAATACTTGATTTTTGTTTTAGTAATCTTTTTGGGAATATTGATAATAAAATTATTTATTCAATTGAATACAAAATTATGAAAAATAAATTCTTAGAATATAATCTTACTTTTGCAAATATAATTTATAAAATTGTATATATATAATTCATTAGAAAAATAATTATATTATCTAAATTTATATAATTATTATTTAAGGTTAAATATTATATCTTTCATTTTTTAAACATATTATTGAAATGTTAGTTTAAATATAGAATTTTTATTTGCTTATTAATTATTTTTAATAAAAGATATATAAAATATATATTTATATAAATATATTTTATTATCTAAATAAATATATATTATTATTAGTTTTTCTTTTTTAAATATTATTTTAATTTATTTTATATAATTAACTTTTAAAATATTTATTGATTTTTTCTTCATTAAAAATTTGGTATATCGTCAACTTTTTTTATTTATTTATATAAAATTGTGTTTTTTTAAGATTATTTAATAATTAATCATATTAAAATTTTAAAATTTTCAATATATATATATATATATTTTTTTTCATTTTATACATTATTGTTTTTGCTTTTTTTATTATTTTATTTTTATCTGTAATATCCAATAAACTTTTTATTACTATAATTTTTATTATTTTCAACTAGATTATTTAAATAAATATATTACTTTTTAATATTTTTTTTTAAAATAAAAAAATAATAACATAAAAAAAAGTCATTAATATTTTTTTTATTGTATGATTATTTTATTAATAAAAAAAAATTAATATAAAATAAAAACTAAATTGTATTAAAATAATTTTATTTATACTATTTGTTTAAAAAAAAAAATTATATATATAAAAAAATTTATCAATATATATAAAAATAAAATATATATAATTATAATTTATTAAAAAATCAGCAAACATAATCATAATCTTCTTTAATTGCCGTCATTTGAATATCTTTGTTTTTATTTGGTTTTATAGTCACATAAATCATTTTTTCTTTAACTTAAATAGTACTATTATTAAAGGGATCTTAAGAACCTTCCACTTTGAGTTTTTAAAATACACTAGTATATGTAATTAAGTTGAAAAAGCAATAAATTTAGACCAAAATACTTAATCCTATAGAGTAAATATAAATCTATAAAAATTAATAATATGAGCTAAAGTAAGAATTAAAATCTGATTAATCTGATGATTCTTTTAATTTCAAATAATTATACTTTGGATTTATTAATAAAAACTAATTAAAATCAGAAGGGAATTAAATATAATTTTCGATTTTGGTGAAATTAAGTATTGTCAATACAATATTTATTAAAAAAAGTATTCCAAATAATAACTCGCCAGTAAAAGATTTCGTAAAAAACAATATTAAAGCGAAAAAAAATTAAAGAATTTCAAATAATTACTTATAATATAAATAAAAGTCAATATATTTAAATTTCCAGCAACTACTAACTATATATATGAAGTCGTTTTTTATATCATTCTCAATTAATAAATTATACATCTTAAATTCATAACTGAACATTATTGAAAAAACAACTATTATATATATGCTAGTTAATAATATAATTATTATGCATAAATACCATATAAATTTTAAAAAGAATTGTTATTTTAATCAATTTTCTATTCTTTTGATTGATTATTTATTTCTTCATTTGTGTGAGGAAGCTAATGAAGATTTAGATTAATATCAATTACATCAATATTTTTATTTAATTATTTATTTTTGTTTTCGGATGTATGTTGTTGTTGTTATTCAGAATTTTATTTTTACATTTATTTTATATATAATATTTTTGATATTTATATATTATATATAAACAAAATAATATATTTTTATATTATTTTCTTTTTTAAATTAAATAATTTATTTATATATAAATTAAATTTTTATTTTTATATTTATATGTTATTTTAGTTATTAAATTTATTTAATATTGTTATTACAAAATATTTTTAAAAATAAATTGATTTTTTTTTTATTTAAATAATTTTTATATAAAATTATAACTATTTAATTTTTTTTTATTATATATATATAAAATATATATAAATATATTTTATATTTTTATATTTTTTATTTTTCAATTTTATTTAGATATATTTACATTTTTTTAAATTATATTTATTAATTTATTTATTTTTCAAATATTAATTAATTTAATTTTTCTTTATAAATTTAATATATATTTATTTATATATAATTTTTTATTATTATTAAAATTTATGAATTCTTTTATAATAAATATTATAATTTTCATAATTTTTTTTTTTTAATTTAAATATTATTATTCAATATTTATAATATAAAAAAATAAATATTTTTATATATTTTATTTTTAATCTATATAATTAATAATTTAAAGATTATTTTTAATTTATTAATTAAATTTTATAAATATTCAAATACATATGTAAAATAATTATGAAAAATTAACACTCATATAAAAAAATAAATATATAATTAATATCATAACAGAAAATATTTATATTTTTTATATATTAATATAATTAAAAAATAAAAAATATATGAAATAATAAAATTATTAATAATTAATATATAGATATTTATATTTTTTTCATTACATAAATGTAATTTTTTTTAATTTTATTTTATTTTATTTTATTTTTATTTTATTTTATTTAAACATTATTGCATTTATTCAAAATTTGTAAATTTTAATTTATTTTTTTTCTTTGGCCTTTTATTACTATTATTTTTTCATTATATTAAATTTATAGAAAAATATTTTAATTTAATATATTAATATTTTTCTTAATATATGTATTTTTAATAATTTTATAATAATTTATATATTTTTATAATATAAATTTTAATCTTATTAAAATCGCTATCTTAATTTATATCTTATAAGATGATTTTTTTTTAACTAAATCAATAAATAAATTTATAATGATATTTTTTTTCCTTTATATATTATATATAATAAACAATTAAAAAATTAATATTAAATATTTTTAAACTAATTTATTATACGAATTATTTGTTTTATATAAATATTTATATATTTAAATAATATTTTAGATAAATTATATAATATATATATATATAATTATATTTTTTAAATAAATTTGGGCCGACATATTCAATATCTTTGTTATTAGTTATAATTTTAAGATAGCCTTTAAAAATTATGTCTATTACTTTAGACAATAATATTATCTTGAATTTCATTAATATTATTAAAAAATGGTTCTTAAAAACTTACCACTTAGTTAGTGTTAAATACACAAGTAGATGTAACTAAGTAAAAATATAAATACAGTTATACCAAAATAGATAATGCTGAAGAATAAATATAAATCTACAAATATTCAAAATAGTTTTTAAAATAAGATTAGAAATCTTACAAATCAGAAGCCTTTTTTAATTGCAGATGGTTATATTTTAAATCGATTTATTAATAATCTTGATAATCAATATGAAATTAAAAATATTACTCAATTTTAGTGAAATTAAGAATTGTTAATATTATATTTATTTAAAATAATGATCCAAACAATGATTCAATAGATAGAGATTTCGTAAAAAATAATATTAATGCAGAAAAAAATTAAAGTATTTCAAACAATTACTTAAAATATAAATAAAAATCAAATTTTTAATATTTATAACAACTACTAACTATATATTCAAAACTATTTTTTATATCGTTCTCAATTAATAATTCATATATCTTTTATTCGTATCTAAAAATTATGACAAATATAACTATAATATATAAGCTAGATAATATTATTATTAGTATGTATAAATACCATAATAATTTATAACATATAATTCCTTTTTAATTATATTAATCTTCTTTTGTTCGTTTTTTATAATTCGTTATATTACGAAAGTTACTAAAGATTATAAATCATTTATTTTAGTTTATGTCTAAATTGTATATTAAATAATATAACTTTTTCTTTTATAATTATTAAAAATTTAATTTTTTCATTAATTTTATATAAAGATTAAAAAAGAATTTATTTTAATAATATTTTATTATTTTAAAAAAATCTATATATTATATTAATTTGTCCATTATTTTTATACTTAAAAATAATAATAAAATATAATTAATGTATTTATATATATTATATATAATATATTATTATGTAAGATTATTAATTATTATTATAAAAAAATAAAATATTATTATTTTAAATATACTTTTATATAAATTAAAAATAAATAATAGTGTATTCAAAATAGATGTAATAATATTTAAGGTTATAATTATAATAGTAATATGTTTTTGAATAAAAAAAAAAATAAACATATTTTATATTAGAAAAAAAATTATTAAATAAATATAAATTAAAATATATATATTTATAATTATATTTATTTTTATATATTTATATATATTAATTTTATCTATTTTTATTTTTATTTTTTATAAATATTTATTTTTATTATAAAACTAAATATATATATATATAAATTTGATTCGTTTATATATATATATTCAATTATTTTATTTTAATATTTTTCTTAAATTTAATTCAAAAATTTATTAATATTTAATTTTTTACTTACCATAATTAATTTTTAATAGCAATTTTTGGATTAATTTTTTTTAAAAAAAAAATTTATTAAATCCTCCAATTCTTTATTTTTATATTTTTTACCTCAATTATTAATTTTTTATATAAATAAAAAATTATATATCTTTTTTAAAATAATTAAAAAAAAAATATTAAATTTAAATTTTTTACATTTATGTCTAAATTTTATTCATTTTTGATTTTATATACTACTTGTTTTTTTTTCTTATTTTTTGTTAAAATATTATTAATTATATAGACTGTATAGCTCTTTTTAATAAAAATATTTATTTATTTCCTATATATTTCTAACTTAATATTTTCCTTTTTAAAAAAATTTCTTTTTAGTATAAAGTTTTATTTTAGTTGACTTTAATTTCTTATTAAACTCTCTTTTTTTCGCTAAAAATATTCAGTTATTTTCATTTTAATTCATCACAATAAAATAATTGAATTCTTTTAGTTAATTTTTTAATAAATTTATTTCCTTTTTTAAATTTAATTCGAGTTTTTCCTTTAATTTTATTTATTCTTATGGAGAATTTTTTTATATTAAAATCTTCTTTTACATTTGTTCATAGATATTTTATTGTTTTTGACATTTAAAAATTTCGTATTTTTGTTTTTTTGTTAATTTTAAATTTTTTTAGTTTAGTTTTATTATTTTATTATGATATTTTAGATTTTTAAATATATAACTTCATTATTATTATTTTTTAATTTCATAAACTTATATAAAATAAAAAACACAATAATAATTAAATGATTTTTATTGCAATTTTTTTCCATAAATTAATTTATTTTACAATATTTATATTTTAAATCTATTTTTTTTTATAAAAAAAATTTTAAAATTATTATTTAAAAATATAAACAATAATAATTATTATAAATAACTTAATTATATATAAATAAAAACAATATCAATTATATATAATAATAAATTATTTTAATTAAACATTAAAACAAACAAGTTTTTTTTAATATTTTAATTGTTAAAAATAAAATAAAAAAAAATGAAAGCTTCATCATTAATTTCCCAAAAATCCTCAATTTCAAACTTAGAGTAATTTAATCAAGAACCTCCTTTATTAAAATCAAAAAACCTAGTACTTGCCCATTAAATAAAATAAATATCCTTTGCTTCTTAATAAAAGAACTTACTAACCGAAAAAAATCAACTTATAACATAATAGCCCTATAAAAAATATAAAACATATTATATAAACTAATAAGAATCTAAATAGAGATCTCTGAATATTTTTTTAGAATAAAATAATCCTATAAACACTCTAAACACTTTAAAATATAAATAAATTGATCTAGGCCCTCGTTATAAAAATAATGCAATAATTCCTTATACATTAGTAGGTTCCCCTTAATGGTTTATGCGATAAAAAGAAATAGTCGATAAAAAAGGAAATGTAAGATTTAAAACATAAAAAGGAGTAATTGATTATTAGTCGACTTAAGGCAGGGATGAAGAAGAAAATAAAGTTAAATAAAATTCGGCTTTCAATAAGCTTTTAGAAACGAATGATTTATAAATTAAATAAAGTCCAATTACATCAGATAAGCTTTTACAATAACGTTCTGAAACATTTACATCTATAAATAAAATTAGCAAAAATAAAATAAAAATATAAGATAATAAAAGTAAATAATTATATATATATTAAACAATAAAATAACAAATAGTCACAAAATAAGAAATAATGTAATAAATTCAAGAAATTAATTAAAGATTAAAAAAAAATGAAGAAATGAATCAAAACATTATAAGAAAATTATAAATAGAATAAAAAAACAAATATACTAGAGAAAACAGAGTAATAGATAAATTCTAAAAACAAAAGCAAAATTGGCAACAATAACTTTTCAATATTTCACAAAAAATACAAAGGAATCCCTAAAATTCATGTATGTTAAGATATGAAGACTTTAGAAAAAATAAGAACTAAAAGAGATCTTAGAAGCCTTAAAATCACAAGAATAAATTTTCGGAGGAAAGCGTTTATGGTATATGTATTTAAGAAATTATAAAAATTAAAAATGCGATGATAATAATTTAGCTGATGAATAAATTAGATTTAAGGCAAAACCTTAAAGCTCTTATAGTTAGGGAAAATCTAATTTTAAAAATACAGGAGGATAAGATAATAATAAAGGTAAATAAAATATATAGTCGGATATATATAGTGGATTTAGGACTGTTACTTATGATAATACTAATAAACATATAGAAAGTATTAGAGTTCCGTAAGAATTTAAGACTCTTTCAAGTATAAATTAATAAGGAAATTCACAAAAGAGAAAAAAAGCATAAAGTTTTAATGCCGAATATTTAGTTAAATAAAATTTAGAAAAAATTTAAAATAAAATGATTATAGTAGATGATGATAAAATAGAAGATTTATATGTATTTATTTAATTTAATTTTATTTTATTTTATTTTATTTAATTTTTTTTTTTTTTATTTATTAAAATTTTTTAATATATATAATATTATTTTAATATATATATTTTATTAATATATATATAAATTAAATATATATTAAAATATTTATTTTCAAAATTAAAATTTTTTATTATTTATATATAATTAAATTTTGATAATTAAATTTAAATATTATAAAAATACAAATATTCTATTTTTTATATAAATAAGGTTAAAGGTTAAAATAAATTAGAGTAAGAAGTTTAGTATATCATTAATGAAGGAAGTAAATAAAATTAATATTTTTAGAAAATAGTAAATGAATAAAAAATAAATAATAATAAATAAAAAAAAAAGGTAAGAATTAAATATATATATATATATATATATATATTTATATATATATTTATTTATTATCAATTTTTTTGTATTTAAATTAATTTTTTTTTTATTAGAATAATAGAATAAATATTAATAATAAATGTTTTTTTAATTGTAAGATAATTTATAAATTAATTATAATATAAAAGAACTTGCATAATCTGGTTAAAATTTTTATCCTGTTTTAGTTTAAAAGATGTCTATGTTTTAAAAATAATAAACTAATTAATGAAATAATAATATTTTTATTTTTTAGATATACTATTACTTTATAAAATTATAAATGTTTTTAATACAATTAAAAAAAATTGAATAATTAATTTATTATATACAAAATAAATTTTAAAGTAATATTATAAAAATTAATCATTAAATCTATATATTTTTATTAAAAAAAAAAATCATTCATTTTTCTCGTCAATTTTTTTTTCTATTTCTAATTATTCTAATCTTTGTTTTTATAAAATTTCTAATTATTTTGTATAATAATCTTCATAAATCTACCATTCTTCTTTATTCTATTCAAAAATAGACAAATAATGAATAACCTCAGGTAAAAATAAACAAATAACCTCATAAAATGGTTTAACAATAAAATCAATAAACCCAATTTAACTTTTAGCTATATTAGTAGTATATCTATCACATAAATATGAAATAGGTAAATCATTACTCCTTTCAGAATCACCCTTAAATTAAATTAAAATCGATATAAAAAATATATATATATATATAAATATATATATATATATATATTTATTTTTTTATATATAAATTTATAAATATATAAATTCATATATATATATTTACTTGTATCCAAAATTCTTCTAAAACTCTATTAGCCCAATTTTAATAAATATGAAAAGGTTTAAAAGGATTACTAATATCACATGCATGTAACAAAGTATTCATACATAATTATTTATCTATTTCTTTTGGATTAAAGTCGTTTGTAGATGTCCTACCTTTTAGTTTTGCCATATCAGAAAAATGATAAGACATGTCAGTAGCTATAATCATTTAAATTATATTATTCCGTACTATTTTTTATTTATTTTTACTTAAATTAATGAAAATATTCATATCTTATTCTCCATTAATAATTCTATAAGTTTTACTTATATGATGATTTTCTAAAGGACTTCTATCATTATATAATATTGCTAATTCCGTTTTCATATTTATTTAGTATAAATTATTAAAACCAGGATGTTCTAAATCATGAATAGCTGCCGCAATATACATCGTCCCTATTTCTAATGGGTTTAAACCCCCAACATTTTTAAAAAGACACCTTTTTATGAAAAAATTCATAGTCTATGTTACATCTAACGAGTGTAATTTATTATGATATGGATTATCCTTATAACCTTAAGAAATTCTATTTCCAAAAAGAAATAATTACTCAGGATTTAAATGCATATATGAAAAACAATCGTTTTATTCAAATAAATAAACTAAACAATATGCAAGTTCATTTCCTTTGTTTTCTTTGAAAAGCTCAAATATAGAAAATTCACGACTTTCTAATTCTTGAAAATATTATATATAAGGTTAAATTATTTACATTTTTTCATATTAAAAATTAGGTTTATATGATTATTCGATATTTTAAGAGGATATATTAACAATATTATCATTGTTTTTTTTATTTGATAACTTTTAATCATCTATGTTTTTATTATTATTATTATTATTATTATTATTATTATTATTATTATTATTATTATTTATATCTAATTATTTTTTATTATTAGTATCATTTTCATTATATTATTATTTTTCGTCTTATTTATTAATATTATTATTTTTATTTTTTCCATCTATCTATTTATTTTATTTTTCTTCTTTTTTTTTACCATTCTTGGTTTATTTTTTTATTTTACCATTATACTATTCCATCCACTATTAAATTTCATTCGTTGATGTTCCTTTTTCTAATATAGGCTCGTATAATTTATTTGTAGAAACCATTTCAATAGCCCATTGGAGATCTTTTCCATATTTTTCTTATTACATTTAATCTTTTAGGAAATTAAATATTTATAAAATCCTTTCCACCGGAGTTTTATCTGAATTATTTCCCATTCCTTTTTCTTTTTAATCTATTTCTTTAATTCTTCTAAAAACGAAAAGAATACGTAAAAATCTAAATAAAGTTCTCAGAATTTTTGAAATTTTCAAAAACTAAGCATCTTTATATAATAAAGAAGACATAAGTAATACTAAAGATAAAATAATAACTATCGCATCAAACGCATTCCAATAATCTTTTAAATATCTAAAAGAAAAAGCATATATTTTACATAATATTTCTATTAAAAAAATGAATACAATTATACATTCTAAATAAAAAAATATTAATAAGGCCAATTCTATTTATTGTCCTAAATCAGAATTAAAATCTGTTGAATCTTATGTATTATTAGTAGAGTTTCCATTACTACTTAATGCAAACAACAAAAATATTAAAAGAGTATATACTAATACTAGAAAGAACTGAATTGAATTAAATAATTTACCATTTACAAATTCTTATAATACATATTTAAAATTTTAACGTTTTTATAATTTTCTTTTATAATATATATTAATAAATCATATTTTTAAGTTTAAATAAAAAAAAATACTCTATTTATTTTTATTAATTAAATAATTATACGATCCCTTTTTTTTATCTTTATTTTAAAGGTATTTATACTGTAGTAGGTTTTGGTTTCTTTTTTTAATTAGATTTTTTTTTCCTTATATATATATATATATATATATATATATACAATTTCTTTTTTTAATATTGTTTGGGAAGCCAATTAACTTTTATTTTCGGCTACATTATTACTATTGTTTTAATTTACAATTTCTTATTTATCATTATTTTTTATTTCTATGAAACTTTAACTCATATTAAAATATGGCTAATGTAATTAATATTAAAAAAAAATTATATATTCAAATAAGAATATAAATTATAAAAAAATTATATATATAAATATATAAATAAATATATATATATAAATATATATATATTTTTTATAAATAAAAATTAATTGAAATTAAAAAATAATAATCATTATTTCTAATACAAATCCTAAACTGTAACATGACACTATCCAATAAACTCAATAATATTAGGTGCTGTAAGAGAAAAATTATACTTCGCAAAGGCCATTTAGCTTGCTTTTCTAGTAATACATCCACTATACACACACCCAAGTAATATAACATCTTCCTATTTCAATGAAACGGATTTTTCAATTGACTACCTGAAGGCTAAATAGCAATAAAGACCAGTTAAACCGCATAAAATATCGCCGATTCCCCCACATCTTTTAAAACTACTTTATTCCAGCAGCACATAGGCTTTTTTTCCGTTAGTGACTACATCTATCATTCCTTTATGGATTATATTTATATTATTTAATCTTTGACTTAATAATACAGTATCTTTAATTAAAGGATGACTTAAATCTTGAATTTATACATAATTAAGAATGTGTTATTTATTGTATTTTTCCAAATAAGCCTACATATGTAAAATCCTTTCCTAAGCATTTGTTTACTAAATATTTTTCCCCATAAAGCACTTCCATAAATTATTAAATTCTTATTAATTTGGTGTAATTATATGTATATAATTGTCTTTATTGACAAAATTATTATATATTTTGGAATTTTCTTCCCCTTTTTATTTATATTCCTCAACCATATAATATATACCATCTGCATCTAAAACAATTATCTATTTCTTAATTATAGTCTCAAATACCTCCCCTAAAATCTCCTAAATCCACACATCCCGCCCTAAGCCAGGACCAATAACAAAACTTGTAAAAGCGGAAACCCAATCAGTTATTTTATTTAAAGAATCACCTATTTTTTGTTATTCATCATAGTATTTATTATCCTATTCATTTAATGCGTTTATATATGGATGTACTATAATCTCAGGGGAATATGATTTAATGGGAATCGCTGCTTATTTAGTACATATTATATGAGCTAAATCTGCTCCGCCTTTTAATTGCGAAATTGCAGAGTAAAAGGGAGCACTTGTGTAGTCTAATGAACCTCCTATTATACACATTCTGCCGTTTTAACCTTTATAAGAATTAAATAGAATTTTTGGAAATATTGTTTTCATTTATTAAATTTAATATTTTAATTATTTAGTTGTTTTTTTATATAATATTTTTTTTTTTAAGAAAAATATTTAGTTTATATATATATATATATAAGAAAAAAATAAATTTTTAATTGAAATATTTAATAAAAAATAAAAAAAAAATATATATATTTTATAAATAATAATAATAAAAATTTTCATTCATTTTTTAAATCAGGGATTTGACTTTATTTAAATATTTAAGAATATTCAAGAAAACCTTAATTTAATTTTATTATTATAAATATTTTTATTTATTACTTATTTTTCTACTAGATTTATTTGTATTACTTAAATTTTAAATACTACTATATTTATTTTTATTAATATAATCAATTTTAAATGAATCTTTAATATTAATATCTATCATAAAATAATAAATAAATTAATAACTTAAAATTTTAAAAAAACCTTAGTTTTATTATTAATTAATCTAATTTTAGACCTTAGGACTTATTTATTTAATTCCTTTATATTAAATAATATATTTCGGTTTTTATACATTTCTTATATCTCTATTTGTATAACTATAAGGACTATAAGACATTTAACGTTCTTTTTTAATATATTAAATTTCATCTTAATCTTTAAATGAAATTTTTCTTTATGATTTCTATATTTTTTTTTAATTATATTTATTTTTAAAATAATAATAAAATAAAAACATTTCCTCCAATTTTTAATTATAATTAATTTGGTGAATTAACAAATGATTTTTTAAGAATAGTTTTTGATGTATTTAGATTATTTTTTTAGCATATAAATATAATTTCATTATTATCTATATTTTTGTTTTATTATTTTTCTTCAGTTTATTTAAAATTTTCATATTTTTTTATTTCTTATATATTATCATATCGATTAAATAAAGAATTTTTTTTATTTGCATTTTCAAATCTTTAATTTATTAATAAATCAATGTTTTCTTTATTTTAATTATTTTTATTATTCGTTATAGATGACATTGATTTTTCATATTATTATTTTTTTAAGTAGGAGATTATTATTAAATAATATTTTCTTTATTGTTATCTTTTTATAAATATTCTACTTTCTTCACTTAAAAATTAATAGTATTTTAAAAATCTATTATAAAATTTTCTTAATTATTATTTTATTAAATTAAACTAAACTATTCTAAAGTCTATTATTATTTTTTTAAGTAAAAAAATCACTTTCATTAGTATTTATTGTATTACTTGTAGAATTATTAATATTATAATTATTATTATTATTATTATTATTATTATTATTATTATTATTATTATTATTATTATTATATTATTATTAATTTCATTTTTAATATTATCAAACTAATTATATATATTATCTTTTAATTCATTTATAATCTTTTATATTTAAGGACATTTATTATTACTAATTTGAACTTATATTTAATTCTTTTTTTTATATAAAAATAAAAAGATATTAATTTAAATATCTTATTTTATATATTTACTTTTAATTAATTTTCAATTATATTTTATGATTTTTGTTAAAATAATTAATTATTATAATAGTTATTATCTTATAATTCTTTCTAAAAATTATTTTAATAATATTTATTATCTATAATTGAATTATATATATAGCTTTCTGATGATTATTTATTTAAACTATTATAATTTTATTAAATGCTTTAATATTAAAAAATATTATTCTATGAATTACTGTTATACAATTATTATTATTAATTTTCAATTTAATTTATATTTATACACTAAACACTTTAAAACTATTTATTTTATTTATCAACCATATAATTATTATTATCAAAATTAACGTTTATTTTATTTGATAATTAATTATTTTATTACTTATTATTATTTTACACTTAACTTTATTATTATAATTTATAATCAATATTTTATTATATATTTTTATTATTTGGTAATTATTACAATGCTCTTTTTATTCCTCTTATTTATTTAAACTCTTTTTTTTAAAAGGAGATTATATAGAATTTACATCCAGATTATTTTGTTTTTTTAGTATAGATATGATTAAAAGTCTATATTTACTAAATATTCATTAAGATTCATTTTTTTGCTTTGTAATTTATCTAATTTTTATTTTTTATTTTATTTGGTTCAGTTTATTTTATTTATTTTTTTAAAAAAAATCAGTTTATTTTTTATAAGAATATTATAGTATTTTTTGTTTTTATTTTATTTTATTTTATTTTATTTAAATAAAAAAATTAACATTTAATAAATATTTTTTTAATATATATTATTGTTTAATTTTTAAATTGAATATATATTAATTAATACTAAAAAAAATCATTATAATTATTATATAAATAAAAAGGAAAAAAATATAAATTTTATTTAAATTAATTAATAAAAAAAATAGATAAAATATTATATAAATATATATTTTATTTATAATTATTATATATTATTTTTTTTCTTTTTATATAATTTTATATTTATTTTTAAATTTCTTTTCTTTTCTTTTATTTTTTTTA